TTTTTTTATTTGGAAATATTGTAACTGTTTGGCAGAAAGATACTGAGCAATAATGTTGATAACTGGGTTATTTTGCTAATTTGTCTTATATTTAACAACACAATATCTTGATTGAAGTTTTTTAACACACAGTACAGGCCTTAGAACTAATAAGCATTAATAAAAGATACTGAATTTTGTCTTCATAAGTCCTGAACAAAGTGTCATACCTATCTTGCTCATTGTATAGAAAGAAAACCCTTTGAGTAAATGGCAACAACCGCTATCAAGTAATAGACTTTGTCAAACTTTGATCATCAGCAACCAGAACCAGATCAACATTAATTGTAACTAGATGAATAAAAAATAACTTCATAATCTATATTTCAATCCAATGTTTATATTTAGTTATACAGGGTGTCCCGGAACTCTCTACCAATATTTTAGGGCATTGTTCCTGGGTAAGAAACATATCTAAATATCATATTTAAATTGTCCGGAAGTCCTTATTTACTCAGATAGCCGCCATTTTGTTTTTTTCACTTATTAATTATTTTCTGAAGATTGGTTAAACATACGAAGTTGAAACTTTGCACAAACATTTATGACAACTAGACAAAGCTACAAAAAAATTATGACGATTTTTCAAATTCATAAAACAAAATGGCGGCTGATTAAAATTTTGTTTCTTAAATTTCTCGAAAACCGTTGATTTTACAAAAATTTTATAAGAATAACTTTTTTAAGGCAATTTTATAAAAAATCGATCGACACCTTAATCTTTAAGATCGGACGAGTATTAACTGAGATATGGCAGTTTTAGTGATACGTGACCGCTTTCAGCATGCGCTGCAACTAATATCCGGCGGTCACGTATCACTAAAACTGCCATATCTCAGTTAATACTCGTCCGATCTTAAAGATTAAGGTGTTGATCGATTTGTAATAAAATTGCCTTAAAAAAGTTATTCTTGTAAAATTTTTGTAAAATCAACGGTTTTTGAGTAATTTAAGAAACAAAATTTTAAACAGCCGCCATTTTGTTTTATGAATTTGAAAAATCGTCATAATTTTTTTGTAGCTTTGTCTAGTTGTCATAAATGTTGTTGCAAAGTTTCAACTTCGAATGTTTAACCAATTTTCAGAAAAAAATTAATAAGTGAAAAAAACAAAATGGCGGCTATCTGAGTAACTAAGGACTTCCGGACAATTTAAATATGATATTTAGATATGTTTCTTACCCAGGAACAATGCCCTAAAATATTGGTAGAGAGTTCCGGGACACCCTGTATATACTTTGTTATCTGATAATTCAATGTTGTGTTTTCAGCAATGTGTGGAGATGGTGCCAATGACTGTGGAGCTCTCAAGGCAGCACACGCAGGAATCTCACTGTCAGAGGCAGAGTCATCGGTCGCTTCTCCATTCACTTCTGCCATCCCCAACATCTCCTGCGTACCCAGGGTCATCCGGGAAGGTCGAGCGGCCTTGGTCACCTCCTTTGGCGTCTTTAAGTTCATGATTCTCTACAGTATTATGGAGTTCATGTCGACAATCATTCTTTACAGCATTGACAGCAATCTGACTGATTTCGAGTTTCTCTTCATAGACATCTGCCTTGTTGTGCACCTGGCGTTCTTCTTTGGACGGAATAAAGCGTACTCCGGCCCATTAGTGCCAGAAGTGCCTTTGACAAGTCTTCTCTCTAGAATTCCGATCATGTCGCTGCTGCTGCAAATCATCGTAATGTCACTCGTTCAGCTGATATCGTTCCTAACAGTTCAAAAGTACTCTTGGTTCGAGCCTTTCAAGTACGTAGGAGCCACGTATTACATCTCTTACGAGAACTATGCGGTATTCTCCGTGGCTCAGTTTCAATACATCATTATGGCTTTTATTTTCTCCCAAGGAGCACCCTACAGAGAACCTATCTATAAGAACAAAATCTTCTTCACTTCTCTATGCGTTATGACTTGCGTCTGTATCTACATAACTGTTTCACCCGCTCAATGGCTCATCCGATTTCTCCAACTGCGTTTCCCACCACAAATTGATTTTCCGATGGTTGTTTTGATGCTGGCACTAGGTAATTTTGTCATTAGTACAGTCCTAGAGATGTTTGTGGTCAATTACTTAATGTTTAAAAAGTTTCGATATTGTAACCACGATCTTACTAGTTCAAGAAGGAAATACCTGGCTGTCGACAGAGAGCTGGATTTGGATAGGGAATGGCCTCAGATATCAACCTTCGGCTCTGTTCAGCAGTCTGGTATAACCGGACAGGATAACTTAGCTTTTGAAGACGATGTTTCAAAACCTTCAAAGTACACAACCAAGCTATAACAGCAATTCTTTGTAACAATGGTTCCCTATCCTAAGAAAGAGGGTTTATGAATTTGTCAGTAGGTACTATAAGATCAGCTTGACAATTCGTCAATAGAATCACTAGGCTAATTGCGTAAGGAAAAACTGAATAGTATCTACCCTCAAATTGACGACTAGGATTAATAAAACGATTCAATGATAGAAACCTGTTTGCAGATTTCATGTCTTTGTGCGGTTTTAAAAATCTGGAAGAGTAACATTATCTAGGACATGGTGCTGTGATTTAACAAAGTATTTCAAAATGAAGCTTCAATATTTGCTTCTGTAGATGATAAAAATTGGTTAGATAACTATTCAGCTTCAGCGGGGAAGTAGTATATGTGTTAAGTTATCAATTGGGTTTAAAAAAAGTGTAACTAGTGCCTTCCAAAGTTTTTAATTTTTAAACAATTATTATAATAGTGTACAAAAGATTAAATCAACCTATGTAAGATTACATAGCTACCGTACCGTATGTTGATGATGTCAACTAAATATTTTTTAGCTGTAAAATATTAAATGTCTGTATGTCCCCTTGTTTAGCTTATGACTGCCAATAGAAACACGCGGGCCTAAAACTTGAATCTGTGATACTTAAGCCATTAATTGGCTACGGCTTTATTAATTAGTTGTTACGAAGGAAATCAGGGTTGTGAAGTGAAACGTGATGAGCAATTAGTTTAAGTTGTACAGTATTTATATAAGTAGGATAATCGTTGTATTATGTAGCCTAATGCTGAAATATTTTTTATATGTATTTTTTTTGACCATGTTTAAATATAGATTAGACATCACTTAGCATGATTTAAACAATCTTCCACAATATAAATTAAAAGCCCCGTTTACACAACCACAGAAAACGTAATACTATAACCCAGAATGCCAACCGCATGGTAAAAAGCATTAAGCGGTTTGAGAGAGCTTTGCCTGTCAATCCGTAGGCAGCGCCACCAGCGTTGCCATGCAATAGCATAGCGACGCTGGTGGCGCTGCCTACGGATTGACAGGCAAAGCTCTCTCAAAACACTTAATGCTTTTTACCATGCGGTTGGCATTCTGGGTTATAGTAGTACGTTTTCTGTGACACAACCCGATTTAGGGACCCTAAATCGTGTCCAATCAATGTCGGCCCTAAAATCGGATCAAGTAAACGCGTGCTCCTGGTCACGATTTGGCTGGCAATCGGGTAGGGAGGTTTGGAAGGATTTCCATCAGCTTTGGGGAGGAAGGGTGGGGATAGCTCACTTCTGCTAGGAACGGATGTGAATTCCGAATCTCTACACCAGGCAAATCTCTCAGTCCAACCTTGATATCTGGTCTGAGTTGTCTTTTAAGTTTTGTTTGTGGTTTTGAGATAACGGAATCTACTCCACAGAAGGAAAAAGACGTTTTGACAGTTACAGAATGTTGTGGGACACTTCTCAAGCTTTGTATTTCAATAAAGATGCAAGAAACTAACAACTTTTTAAAATCTAAAATGACGACGCTCTCCAACGAAGCAACACACTGAGCTCAGATCGGACGCAGAGAACGGGTCGTGTAAACACAATGCTCTGTTGACCAGGAACGGGAAAGGGTGGTCGGGATCGGGTCGTTTAAACGGGGTTTTAAACGTTGACATAGATTAGACGTGTATTGTTAATTGCAGTAAAATAAAATAATGAATTGTTGTAATATTCACCAAAATGATTTTCAAACCTGTTATTCTTGTATATCGTAAGCATTACTTATACAGAAAAAATGTGGTGTTCATACAATTAATTTTACTTTTGTAACTTAAGAAAAGTTGTAATAAAGAATTTTGATACTCTCTTGTTGTTTTTATGACCAGCCCAATTGCAATCTTATAGAGGTTTTGAAAATATTTAGACATATTTGGGAATATCATCTAGTAAACTTTGGTTGATGCAAGACATTTTTGGTAAGGACTTTTCACGTAAGAGAAGTACAAACTATTTTCTACTGACTCGTTTTAAACTGTGTAGGTTAACTTGTTCATTTTTTAAACAATAAAAAACAAAGAACTTTTTACAAACTTGAGAAGAAAAATACTGGTGGATTGCCAAACCTTCTTCCCGATATTTTAGTGACTTTTTAATCCTTACAAAGAAACTCTTGCGTTATGTCAACTGACAGTGCCTTTGACCTTGAATTAATGCTTTGATTTATCATTGGGTACAAAATGAGAAGCAATTGCATAGGCTTAAACCAAAGATAAGTAGGTGTGTCAGACGTATTAACAAGTGTCTTTAACTTGACAACATGCAATATGGTATAATCAGTATTGTGAAATAGTCCCACTAAAGACATGACCTAGCCAGATAAAATAAGGGTAAAATTTAAACAGAGAAAAATCAGGATGTATGCGGACTGTATGCTTTTGTAAACAGAGAAAAATCAGGGTGTATGCGGACTGTATGCTGTTGTTCACAGAGTGTTGCATTTCAAATACAACCCTCTTAAATTTGAATTTTAACTCATGATCAAAAAGTAAAGACACAAATAAATACAATCTTTCATGTATATTTTTACCGACAACTCTTTTTAGCAGATGCATAATATATGTTAGAACAAAACAAATACAGCCTTATACTTACAGTATAAAATGCTATCTTGAGTATATCTTTGAAAACATCAGGTATGTTTTACATCACTTCTCATATGTCTTTCACTAACAATTTAGCCTCCCCTTCCATTACCACGTTGTTGTACTTCTTGGATGTAACATTAAATTTACAACTGATGAGTCGTCTAATCTCAGTCAACTCTACCGACACAATCACAGTGTCACCAATGTAACAAGGGTTTGGAAACCTCAGTGTCTCGGTGACTAGCAAAGTCCCGGGACCAGGCAGTTTAGAGCCAATCACCCCCGACACAAATCCGTTCAACAAAGCACCATGAACTACCGGGTTGTCTTTGCGATGATGAACTGGATTCCAATCACCAGATAGCTCACTAAAAAGCGTCACATCCTTCTGCGAAATTGTCTTCTCTACCGAAGCAGTTGATCCGACGGTTAGAGCTTTGGAAGCAGTCGAATAAAAACGGGTGAAGCATAAAAATGTCGGCACACACAAAACCACTTTAGTTGCCATTCGTCCTATTGGTGTTAACATCTTTGTTTAGATCAACCTCGATCACATCACCATCTGTTATTACCTTTTCTCCTTTAGCTGCTAGAATTTCCTCAACATTTCGACCATTTGGGTTTTGAAACCAGTCCAGATTGTCGGCTATCAAATGTAAACTGTCACAGCCGTCACATCTAACAATGACAATTCCTTTATCATAGGCTTGTTTTGATATGATACGATGATTGCGAGTGTCACAGTTGTTACAGGTGAATGAAAGGCTTTTCTTCAACGTCGTTATTTGTCCTAAGGCTGCCCGATCAGGTGTAATAGATGAAAAAAGTCGATGATGAACAGTTGTCGATTTGTTCTTGTGTGATTTAAGCAGCTCTGAAGAAACAATCTTCAATTCCGACCTGAAGAAAGATCTTTGAGACGCCACAAGCCATAATCTTCGCAACATACCTGAAGGAAAACTGGGTTTTAGTGCCATTAAAATTACTCATCAAAAATAATACATATGAGCTAGAGATTTGTTTAAATTTGTACATAGGAAATGTGATTAAATGCACAATTCTTTACTATATTTTTTTTTAAAACCAGCCTTGATTACAAGGCATATATAAAACATTTTACCTGAACCCTACTACGAGATATTAAGGAACACCATTTTGTTCTATGAAAAGTTATTATCACTCTAAAAACTTAAGTAGGCCTACTGTACTCTCCATAATTAATTATCACCATTAGTAGGGCCTATGACCCTTGTCCGTATGTTTATGTATCTATTTCAAAATTATGTCCATATTTAACCAAAATAAATGACAAAAAGAAAAATCCGTGTCCTCCTCCTCTATGATAATGTACGATATCAAAGTTTTGCAAATAATTATAATAATAATGTAAAATGCCACTGCCATTGAAGTAAACTAAATACTGTAACATAACCTCAAAGTTATCTATATATATAATTCTGTAAGACAAAATTTTTACCAGAAAATTGTGGACGTCTGGTAAGTCGCAGAAAAGTGGGAGGGGTCTTAAATTAAAGGTCTTGACCCCAGGGACTCGGGAAAAATAGCAGAATTCCCATAAAGTTACCAGAAAACGAGATATAACGTAAAATATCCACCATAAGAAATGCATGGGGACTGAAAAACGTCTGCATTCTAATCAGCGGTTGCTTATTTATTTGTAATGTTTACATTTATTCCTAAAGTCAATGTTGCTAAATAATGTTTCAAAATGAAATGTATTCGTTTAATTTTTAGGTTTTCCGTTTTTTATAATGAGTGAAGTAAGTAGACAGGGTAGGGGAAGACCTGCAAGACGTGGAAGAGTATCCAGGAATTCAACTGACACAATAAATTCTGAAATAGAACATAGTGTACGGCCTAAATTTGAAAATCCACAAGCTGGTTTACAACCTGCCTTCAGAAGAACGCTGAAAAACGAGTTGAGTGTTGTTTCTCACAATATAGGTCCTCTTAGCACTTGCATGCATTGCGGCGCATTTCACTTCGCAGAGGAGGCCACAAATGGACATTTCGACACATGTTGCCACTATGGACTCATTAACATGCCACAACCACAATTAAATTACGAACTAAAAGTCATGTTTTTACATGATTCTATCTAACTTCATAAATAAAAACATAAGGCAATACAAAAGTGCAATGGCTTTTGCGTCGCTTTCCGCTACACAAAAAGAGATTCCTGGAAATGTGCCTTATTGCTTTAAAATTCAGGGACAAATTCATAGATATAGCCTATATATATTTTGGACTTACTACTGCGAAATGTGGAGTTTCCTTCATATGGACAATTGTGACTAAATTAGGGGCTATGGCCCCTACAGGCCACTAGTCATTATATTAATATGCATTACTCACTGTTGCTTTAATGTCAATGATTGTATCATTGTAGCCTGTTTGGTTTGTTATGTGGGTTCAAATAATTTAACCTATTTTTCAATCAAATCAATAAATTAGGAAAAATTATAGATTTTTTCAAGAGAGTCCGAATAGTTTAAAAAATAATTCCTAAGGCCAAAATTGATGAGAGGCAGCCTATCGATGGTGAACATCAATGGTTGATCTATTGATTCTCGTGTAGGTACGTTGCGATACTTGATTTTCGAAAATAAGTAGTAGGGCCTATCAGTCTTGGTAGCTGACTGAGACGGTGGCGTTTTCCTGTAAACCATCTACTTGGAGGTCACAAATTGAGGATATTTATAGGCATGCACTGTGGATACAATACTCCCTGATGTGGATTATGATCCGCAGTAGTGAGTATTACGACTATCCGCAGTTTTATCCTGATAATTAGACCAATTTGTTAATTACAACGCAAAAATTTGGTTCGCACTCCACTATAAACTGTAGGTCCCTTAGTTGCCATTGGCTGTATGGGGTAATTATCATCTGTGTCTAAGAAACTTGTCGTCCTTAGTCACTAACAAGACTACAAGAGCATCCCATTCATCCTACACTTATCTCTTACACTCATACTTTGCTTAAAATAGGATACTTACATTCGTTTTAGAATAAAGTATTAAGTAAATTATTAAAGTATCAAATCAAGCTTTTAATCGGTATCAGGAGAAAATATGCAGTACTGTTTTGGTATTGAAAGAAAGTAGTGCATGATCATAAGTGCTCGATTTGTAAAAAATGAGGTGCCGGAACTGTAACCTATTTAATGTGTTTTGGACCTATTTATGCCAATATTTTTATCCTCCCGAAAGAGAGGTATGGTACTGGAACTCCGTTCCACCGCATTCCCCCAAAAATCGAGCACTGGTTATCATTGCATGTAAAAGTAGTTATTTTTATCCGAAGTGTAGGCTACTTGTTCACTGTAAAAAACAATGAGAAATTGATAACTTTCGAGTGGAGTTTAGATCAGTCACCATCATTGTCAACAGCAGATCCTTCTGCATCACCTGTTTCATGTTTCATTTGACATAATTAATTACTTCGCTCTTCCAAGGTACTAACTTAAAAACCAATCTAAATTGTATAAAATAAATGTGTATTTAATCTTTTATTAAAAGCTACCTAAGTTATTATTTTCACGTCCTTCATTTATTTTTAAGTATTAAAGCCTAGCCTAGAGAAGAAATTGATTGCATAACAAAGGTTATTCAAGATATTCAAAAGTATATTGTTAACATGAATAAGGGGAAACTTACGGGTCAGTAAAACTCTTACTGTCTAAAAGTCTTATAAACCATCCTAGGGTTAAAGGTCTATAAGAGTCATTAAATATTGAATAAGAATAAGTATTAACTTAATTGTTATTCAATTATTACTGAATGCTATTTTACAATTTTTCTGAATTTACAACTGGATACTACGGGTATAGTTTCATATCTGGGCTTCCCTGCTATCGCATTCGGTTGTTTTTTGCCCCACTTATGAAAGTCAACCCAAATTTTTTTTTGAAACGAATGGGGTAGACTTTCATAAGTGGGGCCAAAAACAACCAAATCAATATATATCAATTATTTCATTTGATAGCCTATAGCCTATCAAATTTGGTTAGTTAACCTAACTGAATAAAATAATGGATACGGTATTTTCATTCGGTTGTTTTTGGACCCACTTATGAAAGTCTAACCATCGAATGAAAATATTGATTAACAAACGATATTTCAGTTAGTCTATGGATAAGTTATAGTATATCAATTATACATTGAAACCATTCTAAACTAACCTAACCAAACTTGCTGTAGACATTTACTTTAGCAGGTAGTCAATACAATCGATAATATTCCAATACGGTATTGAAACTAAGTATCGGAAGATTGGTTGGTATCGCCAGTGGAGTAACAGAAGGGCCCGCAGGGCCCGCAATGCGGGGGGGCCCGGGAGGCAAGGGGCCTGCGAAGCGGGAAACGGCGAGCAGAATTGGCGAGCAGAGAGGCCCGTGTGAAGAGTGGGGCCGAAAAATTGGAGTTCATTCTTATTGAAATGTTTTATCAATCATTTAATAATTGTACTGAACAAGTAATAACATTAATGTTATCAATAATATGTTGTTATTTTTAATTTTGTTAGACCTATTCAGTGATAATGAACTAAGGTACGGTAACAAATTTAACGTTTTATAACGTGGTTCATTGATTATTATGCTATCTTAGTTTCGTCGCAGAGAAGTATTTTACTTCTCTGTGCTTTCGTACACTGCTCGAGTCTGCAATCAGTAACGTTGACTGGGGCTTTTATTATTGTATTATTTTACATTTTAGTTTTGCCCTAGGCCTAATGTTAATTTTATTTAGTTACATCAATATATTAATGCTACCTATTCTACTGACTTTGTTCGTTAGCCTATATCTAATTTTACCTCACAATTGATCAATACTAAATACATATATTTGTAAGGTAAACTCTTTAAATCCATTCAAAGATAACAAAAGTAAAAAAATGCAATAGGCTATTTTAGCCTGTGATAAAAGTGAACAATCTTTTAAGTTAGCCAACTTTTAGTGTATGAGTTAATTATAACCACAAACGATAAACGATTATCAATAAAACTAACCTAATAAACTAATTAATAACATGAGTAAAAAATTTAATAGGCCTATATAACCTCCTTGATGTGACACATTCTGATACGGATGAAAAATAAGGTATTTTTAATTTATTTCAAATCTATTTACAAACATTGATATTCATCATCTTGGTGGAAGGAAAAACATAGGTGTGCTATTCCCTTCATATGCTGACGTCACCCAGATTGCAAACACCATTTCACTTTTAAGAAAAAATTATAAAACAATAACAATCAAATCAAAACAAATATATTCTTATGGCAGTTACAATCAGGGGCCCATTTCATAATAAACTACAAGTTACAAGTTACAACTTGTAACTTGTAATTTCCATAAGATTTGCATTAGGCGATCAGGTGATTTTCTGTTTGCAATCTGGGTGACGTCAGCCTATGACGGTAGTAGCATACCTATGTTTTTCCTTTCGACCATGGATATTGATATAATGATGTAGTAATGTAAATTTATCATCAAACCATGACTGAAATACTTAACACACCCTTTTATGGAAAATAACCCATTAGGTATTTATTTACTACTCTATTTATGATAAATCTGTTTGATCATTGTATCGACCAAAAATTGGTTTGGTTATTGTGGGCCAAAAATAACTCTGTGGGAGGGGGCCCAAAAAATAAATTTGCAGGGGGGCCCGAAAAAATCTGTTACGCCACTTAATAGATTGTTTCATTTGATATATCGTTTGGTTAGTTAGGTAAGGTTAACCTAATTTATTTGAATGAAACAATTGAATAATCAATATTTTCATTCAAATTAGTGTAGGACCTGAAGTAAAGTGCAGCCCTACGGCCGCCACTGTGACTTCCATGGTCTGAATCTGACTAGTTATGTTATAACTGAGGTGAAGCAAGTAGTATGCCTTGAATTGCCTAAAAGATGGTACCGGTACAGTAAATCATTGCTTAAGTTACACTTCAAAGACACAAGTTTTAAAAATGTGAAATTAAATAATGCTGTTAGTTATTTACTTACTTCTTTACTTGTTTATTTAGTTCATCTTTGATAATCATTGATTTAGCTGATAAGCAGTCACGACAGACAGAACAGCAGAAAATAACTCAGAACTACTACAATACAAAACAATTTTACAAACAAATAAAGACGATGACATTCAAGCAAGCAGAAGCAAACTTGAGCAAACTCAAACTAAAAACACTAAACTGCACGAGCACAGCTGAGAAAACTTCTTGTTCTTAGGTGAGTTTTTTCGTAGTTGGTGTATGAAGTTTTTGTTCATTCAGCTGGCAAAATTAAAGGATTTCAGTATTAAAAAGTCAACGACAGAAGCATTGATTATAAATCTCCCAAGCTGGTAAAAGTGTGATAATTATTAATGGAGAGAACAAAGAGTAAACGACAGGTGACAGGTGACATCAGCTCATTAATTCGCACTTTATTGATTTACATGCAGGATAAACTTCCACGTACCAAAGGTAACCAGATCCAGGGACCTCTTTAGTAGACAGCACTCCAGTACAAACTATGCGCAAAACTCCACTATGGTCCGCATCCAAAGACTAGGGAATGTAGTTGCACCACAAGTTGACTTCTTCAATTCTAGTCATAAGTCTTTCAAAGTCACTGTAAATGAGCTGTTGTGGAAATCCTAGTCACTGGAGACATGTATTTAGTAAATGTCAGTCGCTTTATCAATGTTTTTCTTTTTTGTTTTGTTCAACATTATTGCATGTATCACTATGGCTGTGTTATTAGGTAATGTCATTGTTGTAAATTCTCGATTATTTTGTCTGTCTTGTTATATGTATTTTGCAATCATCACTTTGTTAAATTTTCTAATTGTAGCCATTAAGCAAATTCTATCTTTTGTGTAGTTAAGCATGTACTATAACATACATACATACTATTATCTATTGTAAAAATATGTGTTAGCCATCAAATTTTTCATATGTATTGTTTGGTTAGAATTTTTAGCATATAGCATATTATTGTAAATGGTTGTTACCGTCAAATAAATAAATAAAAAATTTATGGGCATAAATTTATAAAAATATTGAAAATAAAAAAAATACAGAATTGAAAACTAAAACAATAAATGAAAAAACTATATTTGTATATTTGAAGCGGAGTCAATATTGTCATAGTCCAGTAACCAAGCTTTCGTAAATACACAAATACCAATAGCTGCTGCCAAACTAAAAAGCTTTTACAACCCCACTTGCGACGTTGCCACTTCGAATGCCGCGGTTGGAGTTAAAGGCGGCCTTTGCATACCAAAGTTAATAATCAATGCTCATGATACGAGGAAAACTAATTGGATGCATAGAGAACATAACCTATCATCTCTGAATTTAACTCCATGCTCCTTGTGACAGATAAAACCCACCTAACCTCAAAACATTTATGTATGTAGTGATCTAGTGATCTGTCAATTAATTTTGGTTTCAGGCCACGTTACGTTAGAAGTTGTTTGTTTACGTTTTATTTATCAAAACAGATTTGAACTGATTAAATAATTACTACTGTACTGTACTTCGAGATGTTGAGGAAACTCCGTTCGTCCATTTAATCTCTAGTGTTTCGTAGCTTCCTTCTTTTAATCTACAGATATATTTAGTAAACATGATTATTTATGCTTTAATAGTCAGGACGAAAGATGGAATGGCTCTCTCTGCAACCACTGATTTTAATGATGAAGTCAACAAATCGATCAAAGAAAGTAAAAGATACGTAAAATTACTAGCGAAAAAGGCATCAACACTTCCCGACAGATGCACTTTATATTTAAGCCTTCATTCTGTGCAGTAAGTTATTTAAGATTAAGCTATAACCCACGTAGTCAAGTTGGTACAGTTTCTTATAAGCTGCTCGAGGTTGAATTGTTGTTATTTTACAAAGTTTACAATGGGCACACATATAATTTTGCGATAGGCCTACTTATTTAAACATTGCACTAAACAGCCAAATTGCTTACCAGTCAAAGCTGTAATTGCCGCTCCCTGCTTTCTTCTTACCACGTTTACTGCTGAAAACCTTTACACAGGTGCTCCTAAACTGCGGTGTGCTAACTGAATCAGTGATTGCTGTTGGCATTGAAATATCTCAGTAAGACGAAGCACAAAAGAGCAGTGGTGGTTGTTCTGCGTTACCCCGAAAGTGGACGTAGTTTACTGAAACACCCAAAGGTAGCAGCACTGCCTGAATCAATAACCAGAGTCTTTGTAATATGGCTTGAATAGAGAAAATCCCCGAAAACGGGACAAAAGCATTGCCAGAAGGGATTTTACAGGAAATTTTAGTACCAACCTACACCAGAATAAAGCTTACATTCTAAGCTACAGGTTGGCAACGATTATAACATTCCCTGGCAATGGCTGAGCTCACATTGAAGCAAGGTTGTTGGCATTGGAGAAGGACGACATTTCCAGCCCCGCGCTAGTGGTGCCGGTACCGTGGGGCGAGAATTCCCGCCCCTCACACTGAACGTGTTAATATTGCTAGGTAGGCTATTTCTCCTTATAATAGACAGGTAGGCTGTAGGCTATAGATTCGATCGATAACTTACTGAACTTCGAGCCCAGATCTAAATACCCCTGCCGTAGCAAATCTGCAGACTAAGGCGAATTTCCATTTAGCCTACCTGACTGGATTTCTACTAAAATATTCCATTAAAAATTGACAGATTTATTTCCTATTTAAATAACATTAATTTTAGTGAGTACCTGCTTAGGTTTGCTGCTACAGGGAAGATATTGAGATGTGTTTTTTTATTGCAATGTTGATAAATAAACAAAATTTCAAAATTTTGTTAAAATATATCCATAAACAAGCAAACTATTTATTCAACTATTTATTTATTTAGCAGTTTATTTATTCTCCATAAGGATAACATGGGAATTTAAAATTTTTAAAATTTTCTCTGTAACCTTGGGCATATAACAACGCTTCAATATACAGTAGAACCTTGGTAACAAGACTCTCATGGGGATTGCAAAATAAGTCTGGCTATAGGCCTAAAGGTTGACTTCTTATTGAGGTTTGCAATAACATGTGTTTAGAGGTACCTAAAATAAATTTAAGGGGATTTGAAAAATACACTTGCTATCAAGAGTGACTTGTTATCGAGGGTCTTCTTATCGAGGTTCCACTGTACAAAATTATTTATTTTTTTAAACTCTACAAAATGGTTTGGGGAGAAATTATGAAATTTTGTGTTTTTAGGGCAAAAAATTGGGAAAAATCCTCCGCTTCCGTAGTACCTAAACCCCCGTTCCCGTAGTCCAACTATGCTGGTTCGCGAACTTGTTTAAATAAACGTAGGTTTACACTTTGTACTAAATTTCTTCAAAATCGGATAATTTTTGCTCAAGTTATCGCGCTAACGAACACATATGTATAACTTATATATATAAATATATATAGGTATATATATATATATATATGAATTTGAACGGATGGTGTTTTTGGCCTCTAGGGACCTTTGAAAAAAAAAACTAAATGGGTCCCAAGTTTAGGTCTTCCCATGAGACCTACGGTAATAGCATATTCCCTATATGGAAACTTCGCTAATATTCCCTACATGGGAAATTCGCCAAAACCAAATTTTCAATAGGTCTATCAATTTTAACAATTGATAATAAGTTTACGATGGAGTTGGATGTTAAAGTTTACTTATGCAATTAGTTACATTACACTTTGACTGGTCAAGACGAAAACAGAGTTTTATTTGAAACTAAAAAATATAAGCCTGTACGGTAACACTTAAAATTGTTTCTTGTAAAAAATCACGTATCATATAAGTGAGAACTGACTGTAAACAATAAACAGCTTTCCGGTAGACAACGATCTGACAACAGATGCAAAGCAATACACTGATTTTAAAGGCAAACAATATTAGAAAACATTTTAGTATCTGGATAAGTAACTTACCAACCTGACAAAATATGTTGCAGGTTTCCTCGTTTATACTCTAAGGCCTATGAAACAATTTCAAGAGGATTTGTACATCTTGAGTTTTAGGGATGGACTGAATAACTTAATGCATTGCAATTGCGACTTTGGCATTTTAGATACCGTAGTGTACAAAATAGTTGTTCGATTATGAGACTTAGCAGTCCTGGGTTAGAATCTAAATACACATTAGACGGAGAAATATGAAGCATTCTTTTATTCTTATTGTTTCAGCTTCATATCAGCTCTAGGTGTAACATACCTTGCGCTATGTGATTCATCCTACCCGACTGTTCTGGCCTTCAGTTTTCTCAGCGAGCTGATGAGAGATTTCATCACTAAATATGAGACTGTACGCATCAACATGGCTCGCAGGCCCTACTCATTTATAGAATTTGGTAAGAAAAATACATAATTAAAGACATAACTTGTTTATGTCTGTAGGTCCTTCAATGAAAGTTTTAGTAAAGGGATTTTAGATGTAATCATATTCTTAAAAAACACTTGACTTTTATGGAAACAGATTTAATGTCCTTGCCGTACCAGTTTCATTAAGCCTTAGAGGATTTTCCTCTGCAATTATCACAAAGTGGGTAAATAATGTTTGTAGCACGCGTTTCCTTGAATTGCAGCTTAAATTTTATTAACAGCAATTAAATCATCCAGCTGATCATAATGTAAACAAATATGTTCTTCATAAGGATACCATGGGAACTTTAAAAGTCACTGGGGCAGAGCCCAAGGGACTTTTTGAAACATTTAAGGTCAGTTTGCAAATCTACGTGACACGCTCTTTCCAATGAGACGTGAATGGTCAAAATCGGTAGAGAAATGGCGGAGGAGTTCAAAGGTAAAATTTCGTGTTGGCGTATTAATTATATAGATTTATTTAAAGGTAAAGTACGCATACAAGGTATAAAATAAACCAAAATACTTACAGACAACTTCATACACAAGACAAGGCAGAGGTACAACAAGCCGCAGAGTCTGACAACGAGAGTAAACTTGGCTGAACTTAGCGAAGAAATGAAACTGAGGGCTCCACACTTGCTCAACATTGCGGACATTGAACCTGTAAAAAATGGCTACCGCAGCTACAACATTCCACAGCCAGCCGGTAAGTGTTCATTTTTAGCATTGAAAGTAGAATCCCTCTAATCCAAATTTTGAAATCCGCTTAACCGAACAAGACAAGGGGTAAGACTTAACTTTTATAAATCTTATTTTAACTTATAAAATAGTAGATAAAATTTGTTTTTCTATACTGTAGGCCTACATATTTTTTTGTCTACGACTAAACACAATTGGTCTTTCCTATTTTTATGTCTACATAACTAAGCATGTTTGAAAACAAATTTGAAACTACGGTACTAAAACATGCATATGAAAAATTAAGTTCCATACAGGATCCATGCAAAACTTAGAATTTGACCAGTCCAGTAGATGTTGTTTGTTTGTTAAATATTTAAAAGTTACAACGCGTTAACATGTTTTCTAGTGTTTTGTTTTTACAGTAATTATCATAAAGGGTCTAGTTTTACTATTCTTACAAAATAATCATTATTGGCTTATACAGTATGCACTCAAACGGTCCGTTTTAACGAGTTTTTGGGGACGTCGGTTTAACCGGAAAAGCCGTTATCAGGACTGGCCTTGGTCCCTAGGAGTCCGGGTAAGAGGGAGTCTACTGTAGTAGGCCTAATCTTCTGACATAATGAGCTAAAATGTCTTGAAGAAGCGATGTTTTGACGACATCGTAAGAAATAAGCTGATGGGGTTGCATTTAAGTGTGTGTATGTATTGTATATTATTACTCCTACCTTTAATAATGGGCTCTTTGGCCTACCAATAAGCACAGTAGCCTACTGTAACCTACATCAATTAAGTCATCTGCATTTTATGACAAAACTTGGAATTGGTTTATCCAAAAATTGTTTGGAGCCAATTACCTAAGTTATTTGCAATAAGTACAGTAGACACTATTTTTAAGTACCGGTATCTAACAGAAATACATTTTTTTCTTGTAAATTTGATCATTTACAAGAGTGACTATACTATTATTACTATAGTATATCAACAAATTCTACTCAAATAATTGATTTAAAATTTGTATGACCTTATTTTAAACTAATCCGTTAACATTTTTACAGTGGGTCCACCGCCGCGGCTAGAGCCTTTATCTTGGTTTGCTACGTTTGTAGTCTCCCAAGCCTGCATACTCTCAGCATTAGGGATCTATAGAAGTTTGAAGGCTCTTTCGGAATCTTCATTAGAGGTATGGTTACTTATTAATGTACACATAGCCCTAAATGGGTACCAGGTTGGCCTTATACTTATCTAAAGATTGGTTTACTATTGTACCTGTTGCTCAAATTCGAGCAATTGCGAAGTATTACAGGCGTTATTTTAAAACGAATGACAGTCATAACTTTCAATGACTTGAAAAGAGTCGATTAAAAGATTATGGAAATACTCACGATATGATCAAAATTTCTTATAAATATTTCATTTTTCAAAAGCTGGTCTTGTTTTTTAGTGTTTTCTACAAATATTTCCCACTCATAGCCGCATTAGGTTGTGCATAATGTCTTACAGTTTGGTGCACGTTTTTGAACACCCTGTAAATATGGATGAAAATAATTTAAAATTTTTCCACTAATACTCAGGACTCAAAGACCTTTAAAATGAGGTATAACACAACCCCCCTTTACATTTGAAAATTTCCCAAAAACCACCCCCACCCCCCAAAATCTCTCCTTTGGGGTGCTTTTTGGATTTTAAAAATAATTTAGAACTCCTTGCGGGTCAAAATAGGGGGTTCCAGTTGCAATTAGGTTTCTATTTGCTATCATATTGGAGCTATACAAGCCAACATTTTTACATTTTACATGCAGAGTCAAAGTATTTATTTGTGTTTTTTTTTCAGGAATATGATGGACCAAGCCCCTTTCACGGATTCATTTTCCTCCTAGAAAGCTGTTTGAGAATATTTCAGGTGGGTAAAATTGTTGAAATGATGTAGGTACTTTTAAAGTGATGTGAAAAGCCAGCAGTTTCCAAAATCTGCCTAGTTAACGCTAGACTTACAAAACTGCAGTTTAAAGACAATTAAGTACTAAAATCAGGACATGTTCCTTACAGTTTATAACTGCGGAATCAGCCAGCCAAAGATATAACCACTGCTTGTCCCAGGTTGCAGAAATTTACTGGAAGTCACAAATATTTACTAGTCAAAATTTTAATAAATTGCTTACACATTTCCCTAACTTGAATTCAAAAATTTTCTAAGACATCTCACTTGTTTGTTAACCGAGAATAACTTTTAAAACTGTGTCAACATTGTTACTTTATGTAAAGACGGATTGTACAAGTGTAAATTGGACATAGTATATTGGCTACTTCACGTTTTAACTTGTTTTTATGGCAAATAAACAGATCTGATTTGATTTCTGTTGCAGGTATTCCTAATCCTACAACAGTCGAGGTATCGCCTGCCGCTGAGCTGGACCAGTCTGGCACTGCTGGCTGTTTGTGCGTGGCTTGTGTGGGAGCTGCGAGATGAGTGGCAATGTTCTGTGTTTCTAGCCAGCGCGGTGTTGTGTCACGTCGCTGTCTCCCGGCGAAGAATACGCATCAAACTACCCGACTACAACGTCTGACAAAACCTCTTCCTCTAGATACAAGAAAATCACACTGCAGAAAATTGGGATTCAGAACAGGACAAAATATTTTAAGGTGTTAAAAAATCTGTGGTTTGTATTCAAACTATAGGCTACTTGACCAATCATTATATAATTTCATATTGGTTCAGATGTAAAAAAAATCTCCAAAAACCTAACCTCTGACATGCTGTGATAGTTATTTGAAGAGGAAATATTATTTTCCTACAGTCACCCGACAAAGTTGGCTTCCTTGTACTGTTTATAGTACAGAAAGCTGCTAATTGCTGCATACTTATACTTTGTCGTACGGTTTATACTTTGGCGCACATCAGGATTCCAACAAAACAACACAAAACAGCGTGGTTCTATTATGCACATAATCCTTGTACGATTGGAAATAGGTTGGCAACACTTAAAGATAATAATACTATGAGCAGCTGATTTGACTTTTATAACTACGATTTAACCTGTCATTTCGTGTTGATAGTTTATGTTCTCTTTTCGGTATTTCTGAACTTTCTAGACTTTTCTTTTAAACGTTTTTAAAACATTCCTACGATCTTAATAAACAAGAAAATACCTTTAAAGCATTTTTTAGACGTGGAAACCACTGCAAATTCCAAAAATATACGGAACTATTTTCTCAAGTCGCGGAGCACATTGCTTGCCGAGGAAAAAATTGCGGAGTGATACGTACCGGGGACTACTTTCTCTAGGCCACCTATTTGTAATGCCAGCTGAACCTAAAAACGTGTTGTATAGAGTTTTCTCAAAAGACTAATTATTTATATGCTCTATAGTGACTGTAGGAAAAATATAATGTGTAACACGAGTGCAAAAGGCCTTTGCTGCACTCAAGATCATTCCGTCTCTCGCCTGCGGCTCGTGCGTAAACGTAGCTCTCGTGTGCAGCAAAGTGCCACTTTGCTCACTAGTTTCACAAATAACTATTTCATCCATTGTGATTACAAGTGGACTTAAATTTCTAGAACTGCTTACATTTCAAAAGTAAATGTAATCTTGTTTAAGGTTATGTTTTTCAAATGTGGGCTATAAATGGTGAACATTGTTTGCCTGGAGTTAAGTTTGTTAACCCATCGCAGTATTTATTTCTGACTCATTTGTAGTTTCTCTCCGTTTTCGTATGATGTATGGTAACGTTTAGAAGTGCTGCACTTCGGCTGTGTTTAGGCAACTATTATTTAGGGTATAGTACCAGTTATCAACCACATGAAATTAAAAATATAATAGCCATAAGACTTACAATTTCCCATGGAGGGCTTGCTTAAAGCAATGTTATATCCACCGGTCTCCATATTTTGTTTTGCGCATTTCAACATTTAATGTTGTTAAAAATACCCTTCGACGATAATTTGTACAAAGAATTCATAAATTGATCGGCAATTTGAAGATTTTAACCTTGTAAATAGTTAGTTTTGAAAGTGCCTTTTAAAACATTAGATTTTTCTATAAAAGAAAAAAAAATAGGAAGCATTTATTTTTTAAGTCATTCATCATATTTGGTTATCTAAGGATGCTTTTTGACAACAGATAAAACAGTAACAAGAACAGAGGTTGTGTTGATCCTTTACATTATCATAATAAACCCTTTTTACACACACTAAAATATATAAATGTATGAACTGTATATTAACTCAGGATCAATTAGTTCTGGGGCATATGTAATTTTGAGTTGAGGGATTTTGAAATAAGCAATTTTATGATTGATGGCGATAGATAGGACAGAATCATGTAGAATCGTGTAATACCGGGTGTTTTGTCTGAATGTGTGGCCGAGCTTGAGCTAACGTATGACATTATTCTTCCAAAATGGCTGCTTACGGCGACATTGATGCCTTTCCTGCGCTGCAACTTTTTACGGTCGATTTTATGAAAATTTTTAAAGTTAAAGGACATTTTGTATAAATAACAAGATAAGAAAAAAAGGTTCTTACAAGTTTAATATCCCTTAAAGCACAGAAAACGTACTACTATAACCCAGAATGCCAACCGCATGGTAAAAAGCATTAAGTGTTTTGAGAGAGCTTTGCCTGTCAATCCGTAGGCAGCGCCACCAGCGTTGCCATGCAATAGCATAGCAACGCTGGTGGCGCTGCCTACGGATTGACAGGCAAAGCTCTCTCAAAACACTTAATGCTTTTTACCATGCGGTTGGCATTCTGGGTTATAGTAGTCAGGGCCGGTTCTAGGAATTTTTCAGAGTTAAGCGAACACCCGAATCAGCGCCACTTAGGATTCCCCCCCCCCCCATCTTAAACCAATAACATAACATAACCGTATTTGTGAATTTTTTTCCCAATAATTTTGGGAAGAACTTTTTTATAAGTTTAGGTTAGAAGAATACTTGCAATAAAAGACTGTTTATTATTCGCATGAATTTAACATTTTTACACTTTTACTCATCATATAAACTTGAGCAAAACCAAGGCCACACGAAAAAACAGGCCGTAATCAAGGCCACACTAATGCTCGTCAAGCATGACGTCACGATAGAAGACGGCTATGACGTAATGTTTACCGTTTGTGATCAGCTGCTTGTTTTAATCTTTCCTTGGAAAATAAATAAATAAATACCTACGTCATTGCCGTCTTCTATCGTGACTTCTTTGGGCTGACTGGACTCGCCACCAGATGATTTAAACAAAAATCTACTCATTGATTTGGCTTGCTTTTTATCTTCCTCTTCCAAATTCGCCTTACCCTTTTTATAATAAGTGCCAGACGTTTTTTTTCTGCCATTGTTTTCTTAGTATCGGCTCGCTAGATGTTTTACTCATTTATTCAGTTTATACTTTCTTCTTATTTAATGCGCTAATTATAAATTAAACTTAAAACACTCGTAATCATTCACTTATCAACAATCATTAATCATCAAATCAAGGCCATTACGATACCGATACACGCTAATACGCTAATACACTAAAAGAGTGAAATACAACGTAATGCCACAGACAATGGAATAAACCATTAAGAGTATTATATTGTCTGTGGTAGTGCTCTGCTCTAGGATAAGAGTCTAAAGGGAGGGGAAAGTTTCTTCTTGTGACAATTGGCGCTGCGCGCTTGCTTATCTCATCTTGAGCATGAGTGAGTCGTGAAATGGAACCCACAGGCGCCGCGCCGTACGCTGCCGAGCGTCAGCTCACTACAAAATCGAAACTGCAAATGGCATTGAGTCCTTGAGTTGTAGTGCTGTACAAATATTCACATTTTTCAAGTGCTGTTGGTACAAACAGAATAAATGCCTTTATTGTGGTATACTTGAACTCTGAGCGAAAATAAACAAAATTACGTTGTTCACGTAAAAAAATTGTTCCGTTGGTGCCACGGCGCCACTTTTTCGTGGCGCCATATGCGGCCGCGTAGTTCGCGTATGGGTTAAACCGGCCCTGATAGTAGTACGTTTTCTGTGCTTAAAGTCACAAAAATTACTAGCATCGTAAAAAAAAGAACAGTAATAGTCCAAGCAAACTAAAAAAAACAGACACACTAGGTGTTAAATAAATTGCAAGAAAACATTTTATGGTTTTATTTTGTAGTGTTGGGTGTGTAGGGTGACATGCTTAAAGTTGCTAAAAATCGGTCCATGGGAAACCCCCTAAAAAGATATCACTTGTAAGAAAATTTTTTGTTCCTTGTCTTGTTATTTTAAAAAAAAATGTCCTTTAAAAAAATAAAATTAAATTAACCGTAAAGAAGTTATAGTGCAAGAAAGGCATCAAATGTCGCCGTTAGCGACCATTTTGGAAGAATGACTTCATTCACCAGCTCGGCCACACTTTCAGACAAAAAACCCAGTAGTACACAATTCTATAGCTTGTTCCTATCTGTCACCACCAGTCATATGATTGCTTCATTCAAAATCCTACGAACTTTCCTATATTTACAAATGCCCCTATACTAAATGTATAATAGAATCTAATGAACTATGTAGCTTCATTTTGAACTTTCCTATATTTAAAAATGCCTCTATACTAAATGTATAATAGAATCTAATGAACTATGTAGCTTCATTGCGGATTAAGATTTTGAGCAAGTGCCATTGATTTTTTTTTTCAAAAAATCGAGCCTGGAGAAGACTACATTACTAGGAATCTAATAACAATGTACTTTTAAAACAAAGAGGTTGATGCTGTTATGATTAATTAATTTAAACCTTTGTAAAGAAAGAAAAAGACATTCCATATTCATGTTAAAGTTGCAGCCAGTTGTAGAGTAAAATTGAATGTAGTTGAACTGATCTTTCCGAAGAGTGTGCTTCTGATTTATTTTCTATATGCCAAATTTTAAAACAAGCCAAACTAAATGGCTAAATGTTGTAAACTGTAGCATTTTTATTTTTCTCATCAAAGTTATTCTAGTATCAAAAACTAAGAGGGAAAATAGGATTCTAGACAGTACACACTAGCACATTCAGTGCGTGAAGTTTTCAGCGTTGTTTCTTTAAACAAAATTTTACCTTAGACGGGATGTCTACTTCAGGTTTCAAACCTTAAACTAAATATGTAAACCCAAAAAGTTTAATATTACCATTGACTGTTGTATTGATAGTCAAAGATATTACTAAACATTTTAGATATTGAGAATTCATATTCAAAATATAAAATGTGATTAAAGGTACAGTAAATTCCTTTCACCCTGCTAATCCGACTGCATTCTCGACATTACTGAATGTCTCTCTGCCAGGAACATATAACAATTCTACCAAAGCTCAATTTATTTGGTTCATCAAAGATTATGCAACTATTAAATAAACTTTATATAATAAAAGGTTTAAATTAAGGCCCCTAAATTATTAATTAAGGATCCTGGTTTGTAGTTGGTTGACAACCAACTACAAACCAGGATCACTTGACGGATACAGGTAATTTAAACCTTTTATTGTAAAAATCAGTGATCCAGAGGCTATACCATAAAAATGAAACTTTATATACCTAAGTATATCTAGTCTTGAGCCCCTCTTTTTTGTATTTTGCAATAGACATTACAAGTCCCAATACAATAGTATTTTTATCTATCCCTATATATTTATTTTCTATAAGTTTTGTTTGCACTTTTTGTGTTTTTTATAAGTTACACATCTTTAATGCGCCATTATCTATAAGTTTATTCCTAGTGTCTTTGTTATTTCGTAATAATTTTATGTGTTGATTTACATTCTTATGTTTTCTTGTACATGCAACAGTGTAAATTACTCGTGTACATTATGTATTTAAAATATTACCAGATTAGTCATTACATTTTTAAAGCATAGCATGTGTTATTCTGAAAATTGTTTGATGTTCCTATGTTTATAAAATTTAAATAAAAATGGGTGCTTTTATTTTTTGTTCCTGAATGTTTTGCGTAACGTAGACGTAGAAGTATGCCGGTTGCCAGAGTATGGCTTGGCAGGTGTTCAGTTTCATTATATCATTAATACCAGCTGTCTACATAAAGTCAAATGAACATGAGTATATGAACTCTTACATCTTTGGTATTCACCTTAGGCTAACTGTACACAATTCTACTCGAATAGTCGATCATATCTTAGTACGTTCTGGATTTATTGTACTTGTGGCCCTAGGCTATATTAACTTGAGCGCTCCCAGCGCCTTAGTGGAACTCCCACAATTACAGGGACATCATCATTGTAACCAGAAATAGTGGCAAATTATTAGTTTTAAAAATACTGTAACAAAGTTTTGTCCTAAAAATTTAATTTGTACAAAACGTGGCCCCTTTTTCTTGTAGTCTAAGCTATATGTGAAATGCGGCACTTAGTATACAGTTAAAACATTTAATTTTTCTGATAACACAAACTAAAGAGTGAGGCAAGAATATAGTCGTGTCGTCTCTTTCTCTATTCTGTGCTTGCTAACATTTTTTTTTAATTTTGGCTTTTCACAGTTGGTTTTATCAAACTTTATTTCAAAAGAGGTGTTTTGATATACTCTTATTTATAATATACTGTACAAACTCCTATTTAATTTTTATATACAATTGTTTAACCATAAAACACATTTGTTTACGGTATCCTGTTATAAGGAACCAGTATAACCAGTTGCTGTAGTTAACATTGTGTGTGAAAAACAATGAAAGTGCAATAAAGGAGTTGGAAAGTTAAAGTAAAATATTTATAAATATATATAATGCAAATACTAGAACATTGTTTTTACCTAAGTATATAACATAGGTGATCAATAGTAACACGTCTTGTGTTAAATAGGAGCACACAACATATCACAAAGGTATTAGGGCAGCTAAAGCCTTTATTAGCAACCAAAAGTGAAATATTCAGACAATGTTTATCAATCTCACACTTTTACACATTTTCAATAATACATTATATGAAATGGTTGGATCCAAATAACCTCTTCAAAAGGTAGAAACTTACTCTTGATAGTTAAATCATGCTCCTGAAAGGAAAGAATAATACTGTATTATTAACTTCTATCATTAGAAGAATTTAGCTTATGTCAATTGACAAATGATCCACAACTACATTCCAATTCAGGAGATCTTTGAACAGATTTTATTAAAAACTAAGTAATCTCGTGTTTTATAGTGTATGTATACTATGTAATGTATTATGCTAGTAATGTTTTAGTTTTTATTTAGGTTTATTTTTTTTTTTTAGTTTGGTAAGTGGCTGATGAATTAAATAATATATAAAATAAACTTAAATATTTGCTGAATCTTTACACAAATTTAGTCTACGGAACCAGTCAAACTGCAGATACTACTATAAAGACCCCAGTCAAACTGCAGATATTACTACAGTATAAAGACTCCAGTCAAACTGCAGGTATTACTACAGTATAAAGACTCCAGTCAAACTGCAGATATTACTATAAAGACTCCAGTCAAACTGCAGATACTACTCTAAAGACTCCAGTCAAACTGCAGATACTACTCTAAAGACTCCAGTCAAACTGCAGATACTACTCTAAAGACTCCAGTCAAACTGCAGGTATTACTACAGTATAAAGACTCCAGTCAAACTGCAGATATTACTACAGTATAAAGACTCCAGTCAAACTGCAGGTATTACTACAGTACAGGGTGTTTTTAAAAGAATGCCGGGATTTTAAACGGTCGTTGCGCGGGGACTATTCAAGATAATTATACGATTTAAACGTCAAATTAAAGGGAAAAGAACAAAGTTTTTTTCTCATCCTTTGATACAATTCGGAATGATTTAATAAAATTGAGATTTTCATAAATCTTATTTCAGTGTAAAACTGACAGAGTATGTACGCTTAGGGCGATCGGTGGGTTTATCTGATGTCTTAACTGAATCTTTTTAGGCACAACGACTCTATCTTTTACAGATAACACCATAAAGTGACCAATTTAAGTTTGTTCAACTGAAGACTTCGTCGGGCAATCGATTTTTTCGGGCTTCTGATGCAGAATGGTCGGATTTCTTCGACTACGTCAAAGGTTGTTTTTAGCCGGCCAGGTGAATGTCTTTTCAAAACACTACGGTGCCAGGAAACTCATTAAATCAGGTTCAAGTTTCTTTATCATCAAGAAGATTTTAATTTAGCAATGGGTATTAACTCTGCGAACCACAGATTACGATTTGTGCCTTCTGTTGCACCGTAAACGTCGTACTGGCGACTGGCGTCAAGCGCATGAGTCACAATAAAGGCCTACCACCGCGCACCTGTTTTGCGCATGACAATGTCAAAAATTCCTCCCTTGCTACACGGGAAACAAAACTTGGTTATTTTAGCTTCAATTTGACGTATAAAACGTTTAGTTACCTTGAATAGTACCCAAGCAATCATTATTTAAAATCCCGGCATTCTTTTAAAAACACCCTGTATAAAGACTCCAGTCAAACTGCAGATATTACTATAAAGACTCCAGTCAAACTGCAGATACTACTCTAAAGACTCCAGTCAAACTGCAGATACTACTCTAAAGACTCCAGTCAAACTGCAGGTATTACTACAGTATAAAGACTCCAGTCAAACTGCAGATATTACTATAAAGACTCTAGTCAAACTGCAGATATTACTACAGTATAAAGACTCCAGTCAAACTGCAGGTATTACTACAGTATAAAGACCCCAGTCAAACTGCAGATATTACTACAGTATAAAGACTCCAGTCAAACTGCAGGTATTACTACAGTATAAAGACTCCAGTCAAACTGCAGATATTACTATAAAGACTCCAGTCAAACTGCAGATACTACTCTAAAGACTCCAGTCAAACTGCAGATACTACTCTAAAGACTCCAGTCAAACTGCAGATACTACTCTAAAGACTCCAGTCAAACTGCAGATACTACTCTAAAGACTCCGGTCAAACTGCAGGTATTACTACAGTATAAAGACTCCAGTCAAACTGCAGGTATTACTACAGTATAAAGACTCCAGTCAAACTGCAGGTATTACTACAGTATAAAGACTCCAGTCAAACTGCAGGTATTACTACAGTATAAAGACTCCAGTCAAACTGCAGATATTACTATAAAGACTCCGGTCAAACTGCAGATATTACTATAAAGACTCCGGTCAAACTGCAGATATTACTACAGTATAAAGACTTTAAATATATTTTTGTACAAATCTCCGTTTCCACATGAACAACTCTTACAGCTGACGAATACAAACGGCATTCAATGTTGCGAAAAAAACATTTGAAAATTAGTAATAACAGCTTACGCATGTCATGCGCAGCAGAAATGATACATTGAACAGCTGATTGTGTACAGCCACAGCTGTTTTGACGTCTGCAACTCAGTGTTGCCAACAGCAGAGTTTGTCGCTGTGTGTCTCCTCACCTCAGTCAGTCAGTGTAGCCGTAACAACCGTAGCGTAGGGTAGTGGCGTCGCTCGGGTTAGGTCGTCTGAAGTGTGGACTTGCAAGATCGTTGGGTTTGTAGTGATAACCAGTCCTAATAGCGACAACTGTGAACGAAGGTAAGGACAATATCAGTTAACATTATTTTGGGATTGCACTCACTATTCATTTGTCATTCTGATTAAAAAAATATATATTATTAGCCTATGTATAGCTTAGACATGTATAATTTGTACCGGCGTTTTCTTGTGTTGATTTAATTTAAGGTATTGTTTATGTTTATAATTATTTTTGTTTACAATTACTTAAACAAGCTGCAATTAACTAGGTGATCTTGTGCTATCTTGTTTTTCGTTATTGACAGCGTTTATTTAGCAGGTACAGTATAAATATTGCAGGTGATTTAATTAACGTCAAATCTAAAAGTTGGGTAATAATATTTATTTTTTAAATTCATGTTTTAGTTTAACATTTCAACGAATAATAAAATAAAATCTCCTAAATACATTTCAATAATCGACAGAAAACCTTGAACATATGTTTTTCTCTGTAAAGACACATTAAGACAGAGTGCTACGTTTTCACTTTTAGTTATTGTAATGGCAGTACACAGTACTATAAGAGCAATCATTAACTACACCATTTATTAATTTTGTGACACCCTGTCTTAAATAGTGTTCATCCCCATGTTTTGTTATGCCCCTTGCTTTTGCGCAATTTATATTGGTTGAATGTTGTTTATAAATAAAAAAACATATTATTCTAGATTTAAATTTACAATATTTTGGAATTTTCTCCGTAACCATTAGGCGCATAATAACACTTCAATATACTAAATTGTTTATTAAGGTTTACAAATGGTTTTGAAAGAAATTTCCAAATATTTAATGTTTTTTGGGTCAAAAATGGGAAAAACCAATTTTTATCAAATAAAACCCCCCATAAACCCCCGTTCTCATTGTCCGATTTTGCTGGTTCGCGAACTCGTTTGAATAAATGTTGGTTTACACGATTATACAAAATTTCATAAAAATCTGATAATTTTTGCGAGTTTTCGTGCTAAAGGACACAGACATATACTGTATATGAATTTGTACGGATGGTGTTTTTGACCTCTAGGGACCTCAAAACTAAAAAGTAAATCGATCCAGGGTCCAGGTCTTACTATGAGTACTACTACTTATTCTCTATACTGTAGTCTATGGGAAATTCCCTAAAAGGCGGCAATTAAAAATTTGACAGATAAATGATAAAAATACTCTCGACAATAAAGTCGTCGAGGACAAACTGACGATAACATTTGTGTACCTGCGGTTGATAGGGAGGCCTGCTTGAATAAATAAACAACGCACACCTTAAATGTTTATGTTAATTTAATCAGATTTAGAAAATTCGTAACAATAGTTATTTGTGCAACTAGTGAGCGATGAAAAATTGTACATGCATCGTACAGTTTATACATCTATCAAGTTAATATCCCTTAAGAAAGTATGTGTACTGTAATTAAAATTAAAACTTGTTGAACTATTGTAGCTGTATAATATAACACGAAGAATTAAAGGACAATTCTTGCATATTGGCTTCAAAGATCGCACAATACCAATTCGATGTTAGGTTTCGTAGATTCGAAATCGATACAGCAAAGCCTGTTTTACAACATTGAATTACTCCGGTGCCTACAAACTAGACACGGTTGCTTCACTAGCTGCCGAAACTAATACTGTATTGGGAACGACAGTTGCTGCAGAAAGTGACATAAGGAGAAACTCCTTTAACATTGTACTATAGTGTCTCGGAGTCCTAGTCAAAAACCGATGAGAACCTCTTTAGCGAAGGGGTGCTCTCACAATCCCCCACTGCTTCGCAGAAGAGGTTCTCATCGGTTTTTGACCAGGACATTGAGATGCTAGTACATTGTTAAGGATCTACAATCAACGATTGTACCGTTGACTGTAAGATTGTACCTAGAACTACGTTGTTGAATAATCTCAGCTCAGAAATAACGTAACAGACACTACAACGTGAGACATACCTTAGACATAACAAACTACATAATGTCCGTGTTAGCACGACCCTTTTGCTCATTGAATATTCTTGCTCTACTACATTGTTTTAACTCGTTTATAGTCGAAATAAGTTTTATTAGCCTAGTCATATAAGTATATTTGGGAAAAAATATTTGCACCAGATTTTACTCAATGAAGATTCCTTACCACAAGAACTAAGTGTACGTATTTAGTTGTTCAACTGAAACTGAAGCTAGTATGAGTTATGATCATGTTTGTAATGTATAACTTACGGTTGGCGAGTGTAGAGCGCAGCAGACACCTCTTTGAAGTGAGCGGCCACCGCGTCGCCCCGGTAGTCGCGCCCGCAATTCGCCCCATGCGGCTCTGAAAACTCAATGCTTCTATAGACCATGCCCAGTTGCCCACCCCTAGTTTAGTTGAAAATACATACTGTAATCTTTTTGTTTAAAGGCTAGACTGTTGAGGTTTTCATTTGCGAGTGAAAAGTTTTTTTATCGAGAAACTCGATATTTTTTATTATATTTACTTGATTAGTTTCTCTTCACTTAAGTAGTGCACCCATATTCCACGGTCATATTCATAACTCAAATAACTCGTAAGTGTTTAAAATAAGACAATAATGTCTAATGTCGTCAACCATTGAAGCCCCACGGAGGCGTGCGTGTCTGTTTGGATTACAGAAAGGCTTCTGGCTTACCTAAAATTCGCTTGGGTTACAAGCTGTAAGTAATGTTGTGCCATTTTTTAGAAAATTTTATTTTTTTCGTGATTTTATGGGGAAAACTGCATTAAAAATAGAAATTTCTTAAATAATTTAAACGCCCTGGAGATACTATGGATTAGTACCTACATACACAACATTTAATCAAAATTTGACTACAGGTGCGGTCTGGAGCCTCTTATTTATACTATGTGTAATGATATAACCATTTGATAGGTTTATGTAATCGGTAAGGGAATGAAAGTTTATTTAAATACTAGCTGGCCCGACAGACGTCGTCCTGTCCTATTGTTGTTTTATGTCACATGCTCGTTCATTTTCAAGATGAGCTCGTTCGCATGAATCAATCACGTCCTGGTTGAAGTTCGTTCGCTACGCTCACTCACCTTTAGGTTGGAGCTCGTTCGCTGCACTCACTTGCCTTCAGGTTAGCTCGTTCGCTACGCTAACTCGCCTCAAGGTTGAAGTTCGTTCGCTACGCTCACTCACCTTTTGGTTGCAAATTAATAGTTCTCATAAATTAAAAATAAATATAGTGCTGCACCCTGTTGGTAAACCTATTAACTTTTTAATGCTATTGAACATCACAGAATCAAATTGTTTAGTTGCACCAGCTGTTAAGATTCTTTAATTCCATTTAAATATGAGTACTCATAAGGTTAACATGGGAAACTCCAGACCCACTGAAGCAGAGCCCTATTGACGGATCTGCACCAAACTTCACACAAACCATCCTTGAATAATGCTTAATAATGCCTGAAAGTTTCATTACAATCTGTCGAGCAGTTTTGGAGTCCATAAAGGACAAACATACAAATATACAAACATACAAATATACAAACATACATTGGATTTTATATATATAGATACATAGTAAAATAATAGATGTTTTAATTTATTTTTTTGAGCAGTATTTAAAATATTTAGTTTGTTTTAGTGAAATATAATTAGTTATAACTAACAGCTGGTTGAATAAAAAATATTCTATAGATTTATGAGGTTAGTTTATTTACTCTGAGATTTTGTCATTGATTATAGAAAATCAGTAAGATTCTATAACCATTGCTGTATACGAATCGAAGCTCAGGAATCTTAAAAAAAAAAACTTATGAGAATTATTTTACTATTCGACTTTTTGAGGAAAGGTTGGGGAAATAACAATGATCACATGTTTTAACTCATCTTGGAAGCTTTTTCTTTACTATCATTTTTGAACTATTATTATTATTATTATTATTATTTGTTGTCATGAGAGCCGAAGCCCCCTGACTGCTTACCCGGTACCTATCCTTCAGGACATACCCGGGCCCCATGATGTAGGCCGAAGCTTACGCATCAACCTTTAGCACATCATGGGCGGATGACTTAAGGTCATCAGGCTCGCCGGCTGCCGAAGCAGACCCTTCGGAAAGAGGGTTGCCCCTCAATCCTAACCAGGGATTCCGGCTGCTTGTTTAAGCGTCACTCCACCTGGGTTCCACTAGGTCGGAACCTAGAGGTCCATAGTAGAGCGCCCCGACGCATTTAGTGCAAGCAACACTCGGGACCTATCTCATCCCTGACAGGCAGAACCCGCCATCAATAGCCAGGAGGAAGGGGACCATCAGCACGCTGACGGGGGGAACCCCAACCTCCCATTTACACCGCTGCCCGATCGAGGCCTGACCCATTGCTGGGAACCAGAGATATCCAGAGCGATAGATCCCCAGATACCCCTGGCGGGCTCGGACCCAGCACCCGATCTACTTCGTTTGCCCGTCAGACCCAACATCACTGCCAGGCCATCAGGGTTTCCCAAAAGGAGGCAGGTATAGAAGTGGGACCCACCCGGATGAACCTATCCACCAGAGGTGGCGACACCCTTGACTCAATTGAGGTTCCGGGAAGAACCCCCCCACACTCAAGATAACCATACCGTCCGTGCTCAGAGACAGGAATAGGTTTGCATAAGTACCTACAAACCGTTGCCCTCACACTGCGGAAAGTTACGTTGCCCTTGAGTGTCCCCGTGAGCTGCGGGTACTTGCCCGTTTTCACCTCCAGGAAAGGTTACTTCCAAAGTCGAGGATTTGCCCACTGAATGCTGGTCGCACACCACAAGCAGGCCGAAGCCCAAACATCATTTTTGAACTGATTAAACTATGCCTGAATTAGTAATAGATACACTATATACAGTTTTAATGGACTGCTCGATTCCCGTACGTAGGACGTAGGACGGGCCAACAACTCGTTACTACTAAAAAGTCAAATCAGTATTATTACTAAGGTAATTTTTGTTAACATTTATGAAACAGGTGAATTTCCTTACATCCCAAACCTAAAATTTGTAGAGTTTGTATCATCAATATTCCGAATTACTTATCGGATA